GGCGGTGCGGGTAAGGCGCACGCCCCCTACCTGGAAATGCGAAATCACATATATGTAGGTGATTTTGCACACTCGTGCCCCGTGTTGCCCAGCGACAGCCCCAAAACATCACTGCTCTAGAGGAGATCTGCATGGAGGATGGGCCAACATACCAGCAACAGTGTGTGCCAACCTTGTGAAGACTTCCAGGAAACGTCTGACCTCTGTCATTGCCAACAAAGGATATATAACAAAGTATTGAGAAGAACTTTTCATATTGACCAAATACTTATTTTCCACCATAATTTGCAAATAAATTCTTTCCAAATCAGCCAATGTGATTGTCTGGATTTTTTTTCTCATTTTTTCTCTCATAGTTGAGGTCTACCTATGATGCCAATTACAGGCCTCTCTCATCTTTTTAAGTGGGAGAACTTGCACAATTGGTGGCTGACTAAATACTTTTTTGCCCCCTGTATATTGTACATTCACATCAGTCCCTAACCCTCAAGGGGTGTACAATCTAAGGTCCCTAACTCACATTCATACATACACATACTAGGGACAATTCACCTATTAGCATGTCTTTGGAATGTTAGAGGAAACTGGAGTACCCAAAGGAAACCCACACAGGCACAAGGAGAACGTGCAAACTCCAAGCAGGTGGTGCCATGGCTGGGATTTAAACCAACGACCCCGAGTACTGCCAGGTGGAAGTGCTAACCATTTACTCACTGTATGTGTTTGAATGTGAGTTAGGGACCTTAGATTGTACACCCCTTGAAGGTTAGGGACTGATGTGAATGTACAATATATATGTAAAGCGCTGCGTAAATTGACAGCGCTATATAAGTACCTGAAATAATAAAAATAAATAAATGTAAAAATGTAAAAAACCCTGGCACTACCAGCCTGGAGTTTGCATGTTCTCCCTGTGCCTGCATGGGTTTCCTCTGGGTGCTCCGGTTTCCTCCCACACTCCAAAGACACGATGGTAGGTGAATGGCTCCTGTCTAAATTGTCCCTAGTATGTGTATGTATGAATGTGAGTTAGGGACCTTAGATTGTACGCCCCTTGAGGGTTAGGGACCTTAGATTGTACGCCCCTTGAGGGTTAGGGACCTTAGATTGTACGCCCCTTGAGGGTTAGGGACCTTAGATTGTACGCCCCTTGAGGGTTAGGGACCTTAGATTGTACGCCCCTTGAGGGTTAGGGACCTTAGATTGTACGCCCCTTGAGGGTTAGGGACCTTAGATTGTACGCCCCTTGAGGGTTAGGGACCTTAGATTGTACGCCCCTTGAGGGTTAGGGACCTTAGATTGTACCCCCCTTGAGGGTTAGGGACTGATGTGAATGTACAATATATATGTAAAGCGCTGTGTACATTGATGGCGCTCTATAAGTACCTGGAATAAATAAGAGTGACTTTGTGACACCCTCCAACCCTCAATGTAGACATCTGTTCTCTCCAGACTTTTTCGGAAACCGCAGCCTCTGAAAACACCTGCGTGAGCGGATGCCGAGGAGGAAATGTTGCGTTCTACAAGCTGGGACTGTTGGTGTCGGTGTTCAGTGCGCTGCTACTTGCCGGATATATTTTTCTGTAGAACGTCTCAATCTGCTGAGAGCCGGCGTGGGTCATATTTTTTCTCCATCATCCTTCTTCGCGTTCCGCGTCTGCTTTTATTATTATTTGCAATCTCTCTGCCGTTCTCCCTCCCTCTCTGCAGTTGTTTGATTGCTGGAAGCCAGATGGAGAGATGGGATCCCACCGCCGAAAAAAACGAATGTCAGGTTGTTCCTCCTGTTTCCACAGTAACCGGCGAGCAAATCTCCGAGGCAGGATATAGAATGTTGCCGAACGCAATGATTTGTTGGTGTGGGCTTCATCCGTCCAGTCCTCTATACATGGGAAAAGCCACAAATCTTCTAAAGCTGCACTCAGGATTTGTGATGTAGGAGTGCTGAACCTTATGGTTGCAGTGGGTGGCTTACGGTCCTAGAAGCTGCTCACCAGCAACTGTAGGGGTCTTGCTGGAGTTTACTAAAGTTTTGAATGGACGGGAGCGCCGCACCAACTTGTATAGTCCTTCAAAAAGATTTTTGTTTTGCAAAATCCAACGCGTTTTGGGGGGGGGGGGGCTCGGCACTCTCACTTCATCATGGCTAAAGCCTTGATGATGGAAAAGGGGTGAGCCCTCGAAACGTGTTGGCTGTTGCAAAAAGCAAAGGACTGTGCAAAGAGGTGTGGCTCTTCCCATCCTTTCAAATTTTTAGTAAAGCTGCTCTCAGGGCACAAAACATTTCATTTAGGCTAGATTCACCCTCTGTGCATGCCTTATGGTTGCAGTGGCTGGCTTACGGTCCTAGATGCTGCTCACCAGCAACTGTGGGGGTCTTGCTGGACCCCCAGAGGAGTTTACTAAAGTTTTGAAAGGACGGGAGCGCCGCACCAACTTGTATAGTCCTTCAAAAAGATTTTTGTTTTGCAAAATCCAACACGTTTTTGGGGGCTCAACACTCTCCCTTCATCATGGCTAAAGCCTAGATGATGGAAAAGGGGATGAGCCCTTGAAACGTGTTGGCTGTTGCAAAGAGCAAAGAACTGTGCAAGGAGGTGCGGCTCTTCCCATCCTTTCAAATTTTTAGCAAAGCTGCTCTCAGGGCACAAAAAAATCAATTTATTATTATTATTATACAGGATTTATGGCGCCAACAGTTTGCTCAGCGCTTTACAATATAACGGGAGACAATACAGCAACAATACAGTTCAATACAAGAGGTTTAGGAGGGCCCTGATCCTTGGAGCTTACAGTCTAGGAGGGAGGGGCTAGTGGTACAAAAGGTAGTAACTGTGGGGGATGAACTGGTTGGAAGAGTAAAAGATTCCATTATTAGCAGGATAGGCTTCCCTGAAGAGAGAGGTTTTCAGAGATCACCTAAAGTGAGCAGAATAGGCGATTGGGGTAGAAAGTTCCAGAGGATGGGGGAAGCTCTGGAGAAGTCCTGGAGATCAGCATGGGAGGAGGAGACGAGGGAGCTAGAGAATAGGAGGTATTGCGAGGAGCGGAGAGGACGGTTTGGGTGATATTTGGAGACAAGATCGTTGATGTAATTTGGGGCAGAGTTATAAATGGCTTTATATGTTATTGTTAATGTTCTGAATTTTATCCGTTGGGCAATGGGAAGCCAGTGGAGGGATTGGCAGAGAGGGGTGGAGGACACTGAGTGGAGGCCAGTGGAGGGATTGGCAGAGAGGGGTGGAGGACATTGAGTGGAGGCCAGTGGAGGGATTGGCAGAGAGGGATGGAGGACACTATGTGGAGGCCAGTGGAGGGATTGGCAGAGAGGGGTGGAGGACACTGAGTGGAGGCCAGTGGAGGGATTGGCAGAGAGGGGTGGAGGACACTGAGTGGAGGCCAGTGGAGGGATTGGCAGAGAGGGGTGGAGGACACTGAGTGGAGGCCAGTGGAGGGATTGGCAGAGAGGGATGGAGGACACTATGTGGAGGCCAGTGGAGGGATTGGCAGAGAGGGGTGGAGGACACTGAGTGGAGGCCAGTGGAGGGATTGGCAGAGAGGGATGGCAGATACAGAACGGTTAGTGAGGTGGATGAGTCTGGCGGCAGAATTCATGATAGACTGAAGAGGGGATAGCCTGCGATGAGGTAGGTCAATGAGGAGGGAGTTACAATAGTCAAGGCGAGATATAACAAGGGAGTGAATGAGTTGCTTAGTGGTTTTCCAAGGTTAGGAACGGTCATATCTTGGAGATATTGCGGAGGTGAAGTCTACAGGATTTGGACAGTGATTGGATTTGGGGCTGAAAGGACAGATGGGAGTCCAGGATTACACCTAATGCCCTGGCATGAGGGGAGGGACTGATGGTTGTATTATTGATATTTATGGTGAAGTCAGGGGAGGGGGCATGGGCTGGGGGAATACTAAGAGCTCAATTTTGGAAAGACTGAGTTTGAGGAAAGTGGAGTGACATCCATACTGATATGTCACTTAGTAGGTTAGTAATGCGAGAGGAGACTGAAGGGGTGAGGTGAGGAGGAGACTGAAGGGGTGAGGTGAGGAGGAGACTGGGGGTGAGAGGAGGAGATAGATGAGGTGTGTGAGGTGAGGAGGAGACTGAAGGGGTGAGGTGAGGGGTAGACAGATAGATTTGTGTGTCATCAGCACAGAGATGGTACTGGAAGCCAATGTAATGGAACCAGACCCCGACTACACTAGGGTATTTCCGTTAGACTCCCGCTTCCCTGTCCGAACATTATCCATGGACACCACCGCTGATCATTTAGGCTAGATTCACCCTCTGTGCATGCCGAAAAACAAATGCACAGAAACGCGTTGCCCTTTAGAAGACGTTAATTCTTAGATCACCCTAACGCACATGTCTTTATGCGCATCAAAATGCACGGTGCTACAGCATAGACTGGCACTGCAGTGCTTTTACAAGCTGAAAAAAAAAAAGCTGAATGTTTGTAAAAGACCTGTGTGCATGAGCTTTAACTCCGCAACCAGCAAAGCTCATGTTCCATGCTGATTGAAGAGCTTGTGTTGGACCCTTGCAGTGAGACCACTGCTTCCATACAGATAGGGGAATCCCTAGGGTTGGTGTCACCCGGTGTGGTAACACTTGGTGTCACCCCTCCGATGATCCCCGCAGGATGGATTGGATCTGTGGATTGAGTATAATGGATCGAAGCCCAGATATAGTGAATGCAGGGGCCCGGGAGAGCGCATATAGTGAATGCAGGGTCCGGGGAGAGCGGATATAGTGAATGCAGGGTCCGGGGAGACCGGATATAGTGAATGCAGGGTCCGGGGAGACCAGATATAGTGAATGCAGGGTCCGGGGGAGAGGATATAGTGAATGCAGGGTCCAGGGAGAGCAGATATAGTGAATGCAGGGTATGGAGAGAGCAGATATAGTGAATGCAGGGTTCGGGGAGAGTGGATATAGTAAATGCAGGGTCCAGGGAGATCAGATTTATTGAATGCAGGGTCCAGGAAGATCAGATTTATTGAATGCAGGGTTCAGGGAGAGCAGATATAGTGAATGCAGGGTCCAGGGAGATCAGGTATATTGAATGCAGGGTCCAGGAAGATCACATTTATTGAATTCAGGGTCCAGGGGAGAGCAGATATAGTGAATGCAGGGTCCGGGGAGAGAGCAGATATAGTGAATGCAGGGTCCGTTGAGACCAGATATATTGAATGCAGGGTCCGGGGAGACCGGATTTAGTGAATGCAGGGTCTGGGGAGAGAGGATATAGTGAATGCAGGGTACGGGGAGAGCGGATATAGTGAATGCAGGGTCCGGGGAGACCAGATATATTGAATGCAGGGTCCAGGGAGATCAGATATATTGAATGCAGGGACAGGGGAGACCGGATATAGTGAATGCAGGGTTCGGGGAGATCAGATATAGTGAATGCAGGGTCCGGGGAGATCAGATATAGTGAATGCGGGGTCCGGGGAGAGCGGATATAGTGAATGCGGGGTTCGGGGAGACCGGATATAGTGAATGCAGGGTCCGGGGAGAGCGGATATAGTGAATGCAGGGTTCGGGGAGACAGCATATAGTGAATGCAGGGTCTGGGAAGATCAGATATAGTGCATGCAGGGTCTGGGGAGACCAGATATAGTGAATGCAGGGTCCGGGAAGACCAGATATAGTGAATGCAGGGTCTGGGGAGAGCTGATATAGTGAATGCAGGGTCTGGGGAGACCGGATATAGTGAATGCAGGGTCTGGGGAGAACAGATATAGTGAATGCAGGGTCAGAAGAGACCAGATATAGTGAATGCAGGGCCGGGGAGACCAGATATAGTGAATGCAGGGTCCGGGGAGAGCGGATATAGTGAATGCAGGGTCCGGGGAGACCGGATATAGTGAATGCAGGGTCTGGGGAGAACAGATATAGTGAATGCAGGGTTCGGGGTGACCAGATATAGTGAATGCAGGGTCCGGGGGAGACCGGATATAGTGAATGCAGGGTCCTGGGAGAGGGGATATAGTGAATGCAGGGTCCGGCGTTTAGTAACACTTTAATATAACACCTACAAAGAAACATTTGTATTAGTAGAGGTTGACTGATTAATAAAGCAGCGATGGGGATGCACAGTCCACCTGTGTGACTCTGTGAGCGGCAGCAGCAAATGACGGTGTCACCCACCGTTATTTCAGCAGGTTAAAGCCTTCCCATACACAGTATATATTTCATGAATGTGTAGCTGTTAGTTGCCTTGAACACGCAGGTACATTCATACCCACCTCATTATATGAAGTGCCGCAGATTTGCCTACAGTTGCAGCGTATCGCAGACTACATATGTTATAATAATCTACGCTGAAATAATGTATGGAAAAGATCTGGCCTCAATTTTATACGCATCTGGGCACCGGTCACATCCAGAGCAGATCGGGTTACTGAGAGTACAGAATGTGATTCCCCTCTATATATACATCTACAGCTTGTCCTGCTTCACCATCAGCAATGAAACATTACATAGATATATATTCATTACTGAACCCTTTATGGACTAAAGTTTATATAAAGCCCAAACTCTTTTTTTTTAAAGTTTTGTATAGAGCAGTGATCTGCAAACTGTGGCCCTCAAGATGTGGCCCTTTGATTGTCTTTATCTGCCACTTGGAGCATTATTCCTCCCACTAATACAACACCAATGTGTCCGAGTGACACTAATGATAAGACACCTGTCGTTTTGCTGACACCAGCAGTGGGGCACCATTTCTCCCTCTGATACCAGCGATGGGTCTCTTTCTATCAACACCGATGATGGAGCACTATTCCTTCCCCTGACACCAATGATGGAGAGCTATTCCACTCACTGACACCAGCAATGGGGAACTATTCCTTCAACTGACACCAATAGTGGGGCAATATTACTCCCATTGATTATAACAATGGGGAACTATTCCTCCCACTGACACCAACAATGGGGCACTATTCCTTCCACTGACACCAACAATAGGGCACTATTTCTTCCAATGACACCAATGATAGGGCACTATTCCTCTCACTGACACCAACAATGGGGCAATATTCCACTCACTGACACCAGCAATGGGGAGCTATTCCTCCCACTGACACCAACAATGGGGCACTATTCCTTTCACTGACACCAATGATGGGGCACTATTCCTTCCACTGACACCAATGATGGGGCACTATTCTGCTCACTGACATCAGCAATGGGGAACTATTCCTTCAACTGACACCAACAATGGGGCATTATTACTCCCATTGATTCTAACAATGGGGAACTATTCCTCCCACTGACACCAACAATTGGGCACTATTCCTTCCACTGACACCAATGATAGGGCACTATTCCTCTCACTGACACCAACAATGGGGCAATATTACTCCCATTGATTCTAACAATGGGGCACTATTCCTCCCACTGACACCAATGATAGGGCGCTATTGATCTCCCACTGACACCAACAATGGGGCACTATTCCTTCCACTGACATCAATGATAGGGCACTATTCCTCTTACTGACACCAATGATGGGGTACTATTTCACCAACTGACACCAATGATTGTTAATTATTCCTCCCATGGACACAAATGATACAGCACTATTCCTCCCACAGATACCAATGATGAGGCACTATCCCTTCCACTGACACCAACAATGGGGCAGTATTACCCCCGCTGATTAAAAACATGGAGAACTATTCCTCCCACTGATACTAACAATGGGGCTCTACAGTATATCTCCCACTGACACCAATGATGGGGCACTATTCCTCCCACTGATACCAATGATGGGGCACTATTCCTCCCACTGACACCAATGATGGGGCACTATTCCTCACCCTATCAACCACAGGCCACAGGCCTGCTCCCCAAAGCCTAAAAGACAGTAAAATAGCCTTTTGTTTAGAAAGTTTGGAGACCCCTGGTATAGAGTAAGGAAAGATTAAAACAAAGTGCACTTATCTTTTTTTGCTCCCTTTTGTAACCTAACCAGGGGCGGACTGACAACTCATGGGGCCGCCGGGCAATAGGGGATCATGGGGCCCCTGTGTTCTTGCCCAAACTCAAAAAAGCCTATGACAAAGGTACCAGGGGCATCTCATGGGGCCCCCTACTGACCCCGGGCCCTCGGGCAGTGCCAGAGTTTTTCCAAATAGTCAGTCCGCCCCTGAACCTAACCTAACCCCCCTTCCATCCCCACCATCATCTGATGGCTGCAATGGTGCTGTTTCTTACATCCAGCACTGAGTGCAGGGCCTCATGGCCATGCCCCGAGCCCAGTGCCCAGCACTCACAGTATGTGGACACGTAAAGCAGCACTGATGTCAGCTCTGCTCTGTGCATCATCCATGACTGTCCACCATCAAAAGTGAACCTAGCATGCCAGGTGGCCAACCTGAAGACATCAGAAAACAGTAAGTCCTCCTTTAAGTAAACTTTAAAAGTATTTTAAGTGCCTTAAGTGCCATTGCAGCTTGAATCAAAGTCTATTTCATAAAAAGCAAGATCTTGGACCTCGGAACATAGATTACATTAGTCACATGCTTTAATGCATTAAACTCTTTTAGGAAACACATTTCAATCTGTTGTGCATTTACAACAAAAGTGATATCAGTCCAATCCCTGTGTTGTTAATGTATTTCAATTTGAGATTCATTGTCTCGTTTCTGTTTTTTATTAGATCAAGAGAAAAAACCATTGTACAATTAAAAGAAAGAGCTAATAGCTCGTAAAGCCCTGAACTTTGCCCTGCGATGGCACCCAACGTTCTATGCAAGAGCACACAATGGAAACAGTTATTGCTAGACTAATGGATTTGGCAGTTCCATGCCTTCCATTCAACTCCCAAATAATAACTTGGACTGCTCGACATGGGTTTAAATTGTTCAATAAATAACAGTGAGCTAGTAACAAACTGACATAAAAAGGTAAGTGTTAAGGTGAGGGTCTATGGGTGTCCATTAACAAAACTCAACTAAGCTCCACCCCATTCATATCTGCACCCCATGGGCTCAAGCACAGCTCTAAATTGACCGTATGTACAGTACCATCCTCTACCAAAGGACTAAGCTGTGGTAGAACAACCAACATCCCGACAAAAGGAAAGTACAAAGCACCAGAAGGGCTCTGTTTTTGTAGCAATTTCAAGTCTTCCACAGACCCTCAAACCCACCAAGAACCCAAAGGAACCCAACTTAAAAAGAACCCCTAACCCACCAAGCTGTCATGACAAGAAGAAACAAACTCTAAAAACTACTGATCAGCCAAAGTGGATGGCCAGAGATACAACTTCTTTTTCCAGCCATCTTTTCTGGAATGGGCCTTCCAGCAATGCCACTGTCACTACCCCTGTGGCTCCTCCAGGGGATCTAATGGAGTATAATAATATGATAGATAGATAGATAGATAGATAGATAGATAGATAGATAATAGATAGATAGATAGATAGATAGATAGATACTGGACATTGAAAGGAGAAGCAGCACAGTGATGAGCTTATCTCTTTGTCACTCCTCTCCTTCCTCCTACCAGCATCTTTCAACCTCAATAGCTAAATGGAAAATTCAAGGGTTTTGTAAGACTTTTTTTTGTAAGAATTTTTTGTGGGGACTTACCGGGCTCCAGATTGGCAAAGTCAGGGGATCCCACAACATTAAATTGGGGGGACCCAGCCAAGCTCCACAACAGGCCCTCTAACAATCCAATTCTTTTTGGAGCACCCGGCAGGGAGCTCACAATGGGTAGGGGACAAAATGACCTGATCTCCAATGCGTGGTCTCTGTAATCCTGGTGGAAGCACAAGAGCTGACTGCTCCATTGTCCGCAGATGAGCTGCTGCCACAGACCTGCTCCCCCCTGAACACTCTTAACCGCCGGAAGATCCAGGTGCTGTAGCCACACAGCACTCTCCACAAGTTTGTGTCCCTGACCGAGTCCGAAGCATCTTGCCTTCTCTGTTTTGGGACCCATGTGACCCTCCATCATCCATTACCTTCAACCAAGCCTCCTCCACTTCTTCACTCTCCTGCCTCAGGGAATCTTCCCTGGATAAACAGGTTTGCACTCCATTTACAATACCTGTTCCTTTGACCCCGCCATACATCACTCCTTTCTCCCCTTTATGTTCCCTCTGCTAACCAGCAGCACTGGACTCTATCCCCCGGACTCTTCAGCTGTTTCCCTGTACCCCAAAACCTCAAAGGCCACTGAGATCCAGGGACCCCAGTATCTCCATCCACACCTCCTGGCGTTCCCACTCTAGAGTCCATGATCGACCAGCAGTGTTCTCCCTCTGGCCCCATGACCCCACTTTCTCCATCCCAACCAAAGGCCTGGCATGAACTGTGGGACACACCCTCAACTACTGGAAGTGCCTCAGCTCAACAGTTGTCTACATTGGGGTCCCATATGACCACCTTGCCGCCAGCTCTAGATCATTTCCAAGGCCTCTCTCCTGCTCTAACATCTTGTGGCCCCTCTAGACCTTCATACTGGCAAATGGAAGGAATATCTCTGATCCATACCAACCAAGGAAGATTTCCAGCAATTGCTACAGGATGTCACACAGA